CTTTTAACAGGTCCAATTCCAATCTGCTTTGTAAGTTAGAGGGGGAAAAAAGAAAGATCTTGTTTAGCTTTCAGGGTAACTTAAGCATAAAGGAGATGGGAATGATAGTTACAATTTTATCTATTTAGTGCTTAGAGTAGTTTGTTTTTGTTTGATTCGCATGTGCAAAATTGAGTTCTTTTTAGCTGGTGCAGTTCTAATCTAGACCAAGAGTTAAACGTAAAAGGATAAAGATGACCTTTTCTAAGTCTCGGTGCATCTTAATCATTTTAGAGATCACCAAATAAGCATTATAAGTAATCCATTTTGTTGCTTAGAGTAGTTTGATAATGGAGTAGTTGAGATTAGCTTAAGGCTGACATTCTAGTCCTATAGTAAGAACGGCTTGGACTTTGATGAGCCTGAAAATAGGCCAAGCAAAACAGAATTAAATCTTCTTCTGATTTGCTTGCTTCTGCTGATTTTATGTGGTTGAAGTTCCAAAAGCACGATATTGATTGCGAATCATGACAACACACTGTAATTATTAAAGATATCACTGTTTATTCGCTATGAATAAATGTGAGATCATATTCCTGTTTAATGAAAGGAAGTCTTTATGTAGGCATAAGCTTCATTTGTGTATTTGTATTGGTTTTACAGTTCTTAACAGATATACTTTGTCGGGACAGAAGCACTTTGTTAATTCACTATTGAAATTGAAAACCCTTTGATACTCCCATTGCCATTCTTCAAGTCCTATTAATATATCTATTGGTTGATTTCTTTCTTTGTGCTTCGATTTACTGTTTCCTCAATCAAGACTGACTGATTGTTTTCTCGTTGGCAGCATGGATTTTAGGGTCTGCCTGTGTTTTTTCATACTTGGTTCTAGCTGGTGCTGTACTGCTAGAGAATTATCAGCGCGTAGCCACCTTATTACTGAAACTGAAGATATTTCTGGTACTTTCTCTTTTTTTAGTTTAATGCAGTCGTGGGATAGCTGTACTGCTTTAACTGAGCAACCAAAAAATCAATTAATTTATGAACCTTATTTACAGCTTTATTTGATTTCTCCTATGGTCAGCGTCCAATTGCCCTTCCATTAACAAGAACCTCCTTAATTCTCCACGACATCATTAGTTATGTAATGGATATTTGTTATTTTCTGCTAGACCGCTACTTGCTGTTTATAAATTTACTTCCTCCATCCTATTTTCATGGGACAGAATTTGATTGGCCGCATAGTTTAAAATGTTGATAATGACTTATTGGTAGTGGTGGAAGAAAACACTAGGACAATGGTTTGATTGAGGAAACATAGTCTCGAAAAGTTTAATTTCATATGGTCAACTGAATTCATATTCTTAAAGATTTTGAAATATATCAAACATTTTGTAATGTCTCAAAATAAATATATGTCCTGTAAGTCTCTAGACGATTAATTTTCCACTCCTCAAAAATTCTTATTTGGAGTGCAACTTTGACCTCCTCTAATCGAAACTTCTTTGCCTTCATTATTCTCTTCCTTCCTCACCAAATGAACCAAACCTTCCATTGACGCTTCCCATTAATATACTTGCTCAAGTCTTTCTGTCTTTTCAAATGAATCACATTTGTATCATGTTCCTTTCAACTTTGAAGGGGCTAGGATGAAAACCAATATCTGAAAATGTTCACATAAATAGGAGATCGAAACATTACGTAATACATTTACAAGTTTGCCAATGTGAATTATATTATGTTGTGCTCAATTGATTTGCATCCATAAGGCCTCTTAGGATTCTCATATTCTCCATTTCACGTGTCAGATATTGGTAGTTTATGAAGATAGGCAGTTGGGTTATAAATATGAAAGAGCAAGTGTTTTGTTATAGCTGCTTGCTTATAACAGGTTGCAATTCATGCAAATGGTTCTAGACTATTTCTGAAACTTTTTAAATATGTACCTATTTGACTAGGGATCTCTTGCTGACAAGTTCAGCAATCTTTGCATCTTTTTATTATCCATTTATTTGGCTTCATTTTAAATGAATATGCTAGTGGTTTTCTCCATGCGATGCATCTTTCTTGTTGAGTATGTCAATCTTACTTGCTAGCTTAATGTACTCTTTTTACCTAGATGCTCTACAGTACATGAATTGAACTGCTTGGTGTATTTGTGTAGCTTCATTAATTTGAAAAAGAATTTGTTAACAATTGGCTTTATTGCAACAGTTCTGCAGATAAATAACCTAGAGGTGCCGAGACAAGTTCAACCTCCAGAAGAAGTCAGAGGAAATGAACAGTGGTGCACATTGTGTGAAGAATATACTGCCAAGGCACTAAAGTACGTGGCTAATAACAAGACCCAAACAGAGATCATTGACCATCTTCATGAGTCCTGTTTGAATATGCCATTTTACAAGCAGGAGGTACTTATAATCTAACTTGAAAAATTGTCTATCTATTGACCATTTCTTTCACCTAAATGATTGAAATTCACTGCACATAAGAGGCTGAGTCAATTCAGACGTTTTATTGTTTAATGAACTACCGATGTACAGTCATGGATGTTGCATTCGTATTTTAGTGTGTTCTTCTGTCTGACATCCTTAATTGCTTGGTAAAATTTTGTTGAGATAAATTTATTTTGTTCACAGAGCTTGAAAAGGACTGATCATTTGGGGTTCCCTTGATGAGATAAAAAAAGAAACTTAATTAATTGATTGGATGTCGTCTTCATTATTATAATGAGTATGTCTAAGCTTCCAACTTCTTAAGAAATCAAAATTTACCAGTGAAAATAAAGTTAAGTAAGGGAAGGAAGGAAAGATTAAGTGAGAATTAAATTAATTTTGTCTGATATTTATCTACTATCTCGCATCCTTAAACGTTGACAGAAATTGTTCGAAATCGTTTTGTTTTTCACGGTCTTTAGAAGAAGTAATCAGATGAGGTTCCTTATATACTGTAATGAGCAAGTATAAGCCATATGAATTTTTTAAGAAGTCAAACTGTACGTAAGTTAATAAGAGAAGGAACGAAATCATAAGCGAAAACGTGCAAGATGAAACTGAACTCTGTGTAACAGTCAGTAGCAATAAGCGTCCTTCCTTTGTATTTGTAAATTTGGGTGGCCTGTTCGGATTTGCTGTCAGTTCTTTATTCTGAATTGCTTAATATGAGATTTTGAACGGTTTCTATAGCTAGGTTGTGAGTGAATCTCTTTGATTTTTTGGCTGCAGTGCGTCGTACTTGTGGATTATTATGCTCCTCTCTTCTTCTCAGAGATCAACAAAATAAGTCCTGAAGACTTTTGCGAAAAGTTTGACCTCTGTGAACGAGTGGTTACCATTTCTCAGGTGCTTTCTGGACAGAGCTGTGATTTATGCCACCAAGTAGTTACAGAGGCCGAATCTAAGTTGAAAGATCCCGACACCCAGGTGCACTATGTTTAATTTTATGTATATAACATATTAATAAAATTGTATATAGTTACCTGAACTAAGTACAAAAGAGATGAACATATTTTTGTACTTAAAAATTGGATATCTGCTACTAAAGACAACTTTAGGATTTCTAATATTATTTCTGCATGTTAGTAGTTATATTATAAGCAATAATGCAGAATATCATGCAATGCCTAAATTTCCACTTTTATGCATTAATATTTGGATGAAATCTTCCTAAAGAAGAATGTTTTAAAGTACTTCCCCAAGTAAGTTACTTCCATGAATATCCATGGAGTAGTTAGTTTCCGATCATTTGTGTGCTTTAGATTTGTTCGATAAGAAGTTCTTAAAAGAAATAAGAGCAGGAAGCTAAATTCATGTTGCATGTTGCATGTTGCATGGACCAACAAAGATAATGTTACTGTATTCCAATCCTTCAACATGCCAAGAAATTTAGAAAAAGTCCGAACATCTGCATAGGACTGTAGCTCTGTTTAATACATTCCGTTTATCTTTCTCAACTTGCGTATATACAAAATAAGAACTCCATGTAGGATTTCTTTGCAGCTGCTAGTCCTCGTACATGATATCTGAACGATGTATTAAGTTTGATAACTGTGAGTTGAATTGAATATACAAAGTAATATACATACTTGGAATATGTTTGCTTAAATTCATTTTATTTTTGAAATCCTTTCAGTTAGAAATACTTGAGCTGCTCTTGAAGGCATGTGGAGCTGTCAAACTCAAACCTTATGCCACAAAGGTTAGAAACATCTGTGATTTAATTGTTTGATCATAGTAAATCTGCAAGGCTTTTTTCCTCTTGTAATTTTCTAACCTGTTTTGAAAAACGCTTTTCTTGAGTTGAGGGTCTATCGGAAACAACCTCTATACCCCACAAAAGTAGGGGTATGGTGTGCGTATACCCCAATCCTCCCACCAGATCCCACTTGTGGGATCACTCTGGGTATGTTGAAGTTGTATAATTCTGCAAGCTTGCTGCTAGTTTCCAGATTTCCAGTGCAACAGATTTTTGGACGGTAGATATAAATAATATCATAATTAATGTATTTTGCACCCCTTTTGAAGTCTATGAAAAGATTTTGCAATCCTTATATGCATGCACTGCTGTCCTATGAATAATGTTGTCCATCGAAAAAAAAGTCAAACCATGCTTAAATATCGATGAATAAGCGCTACAGTTGTCCTACATTATTTGGGATACTTTTGCATCCAGGAGAACTATCAAACTTTTTGCCTGATGATAAATAGATGAAGGATATACAAACCCTGTTTGATAGCTATGTTGATGTTTTTTTTTCTCACTCTCTCCTTTTTGTTATTTTTTGGCAGTGCAAGAAACTGATCTTTGAATATGCGCCAGTGATTCTCGTAAATGCTGAACAGTTTCTGGAAAAAAATGACATATGTGCTATTCTTCACGCTTGTGAGCCTGCAGCAGATAAAGAGCTACAAGCATCGCCAAAGATGCAAGCTTCATTGCATTCGGCCTCTTAAAGAATTCAGAGCTTTTAGACTTTGTTGGGGACGTACATATTGTTGTATGTAAACTATTAAACACCATCATCAAGTTGTGTATAGCGTGATAGGTTGAGACTCAACCTTCATTTACAGTTATTTATGCAATAGTAAATATATATTTCTAAGTTTCCAAGTTACAGGTTTAACAGAGATGGGGTTGTGTATATATATCATCATATCATCATATATATATATATATATATATATATTATATTATAAGTGGGAAGATCACAAGTGAAAGTTGAATTACTATACTACCCAATTAAAACTAACTGACAATTTTACCCTTTTCTTAAACGATATTTTTATAATGATTTTATATTAAAAAGTAAATTTATTGTACAATAAATGATAAATTTGTTCCACCCTACTAAAACACTCATGGAACATTGATACACGAAAAAGCAACCAGTAATAAGTTAAGAATTCGAGGAGTTACAATTAATAATATAATATGAACCAAATTCTCTTCAATTCAAATTGTATCTGAATAGTCTTCCTTTTGTACAAAAACGTACTCTTTATATATGTCTCTTCAATTGCCATTTGTACTCTTTTATTAAATTAAACTGATATGAATTTCAATATCATCTCGGTTAATCTAAACCTGAAAGCAAATGAAAGGACATTAATCCCATCACTTATGTTGATAAATTAATTAATACATTCATGAACTAACACCTTTTGCATTTTCCATGTTGTATGTCTATTCGTTTCCCTCAATTTATCTCTCTCCTTTCAGTTATTGCAATTGTCTTTTTCTAATAAGCCTATTTATTTAAAGATTTCATAAAAAAAAAGTCATGTTGTAAGATGAATGTCTTCAAAACTTGGTGACAATAGCAGAGCCGAAAAGATTAATATTCGACTACCTTTTGATAGAATTCTTAATTCCATTACTTTCAAGAATCGAGTAATATCAAGGCTAGATGATGCAATGCTTTTGGCACAAATCTAATCTGCTGGAAAAATAAATGAGTTTTTTATTTTCTTGACCAAATTTTATTCATATAATTCAAAATTATTTGCTTTTTCTTGATGTAAATTGAATTATTCTTTTCCCTTTCGGACACATGATTATTAACCTTTTTTAAAAAGTATAATTTTGTTTGTTTTCAACAAATACAGTACAAATATATATAGGTAATGTGTAAGGAGCGAGCGATAAATTCACTGAGGTGAGCTCTTTTCTCTTCCAGCGAGAATTGACTTTTTAACATTAGCTGAGTGCCTTAAATCTGTTCTGAACTACTTTATGAGGATATATTGAGTCCAATTATTATTTTTTGGTAATTCCTTTTAGATAGCAGAGAATGATTTTTCTTCTCGCACATGTTCTCTTTAATTTTTTTCATTTTTGCTTCTTACTTATCGTGAAAATCATGTTAGTTTAAGGATTTGTTCTACCACATGAAATAAGTTGGCAGAGTTTTGTTTTCATCAAGTTTGTGATCATGAGATTTCCGTTAAAATGAATTCGCATGATGCTTTTGTAGACAATTGAATAGACCTCTCAACTAGCTTTACTGTAATGGGCATCAACACAAATGAAGTGTGCGTCTTTGTAACTTGAATCTTTATTCTTTGGCTCAGCTTTTGAAATTCTTTTTTCTAGATAATTTCTTATTTGATTGTGTAGTTTATATTGTAAAAAGGATCTTGCCATATACATCTGACAATCTTATGGTTAATTTGATATTAAATATTTTTAAATTCGAATCTCTTGTCATTATAATCCTCTCATGTATGGTGCACAAGGTAGAACTTCTTGCAATATTGTACTTTTAGCAGTGTATTTTTGGTTCGTTGATGACTAATTTATAAAATTTATATTTTGCTTTAATTTTCTTGCTTCCGAGATAATAACATAATCTTATAACCAACTTTTCCCTTCAACTACACCCGTAAAAGATCAACTAAGACGATCATTAAAAGGGACAGAAAAAAAAAATGAGGAATTTGATATTATAGCTACACAATAATGAAAAAAACCAACTAAAACAATGTAATCGTATATGCACCAAAAATATGTACATGAGAAAATGTTAGGTAGTCGCGACCAAGTGACATATTTTTACCTCATAAACTAAAATAATGTTATTATAAATAATAAACTAAGTTAATGTAATGGTTCATCTTTTCAGATAGAGAAGGTTATTCAATTATTTTGAATTTGATTTACTTTGAATTTGAGATATGGTCCCTTAAATATCATATATTCTCACTCAAATGAGCTGTAACTTTTAATATGTATAATTTCTAATAGTGTATCAACAATATTCTTTGAACAATACGCATGTAATTTAAATTTATTATATTTTATCTAATTTTTATAAATATAACTTGGAATACACGTGCAACGCACGTGTTCAAAAATTAATATATATATATA